AGAGTATGATGTTTATTGTGACTAGCGTGAATGGGTAAGCTTCGTTTCGACAATGAGCTGTTATCACTGTGAACAATGTTAAATTATTCTTCACATGCTCAGTTTATTTTTTGAGAACAATTATTTAAAAATAAAATCTCTCAGTCAATCAGAAACTCGGATTCACGCCTTCAGGGAAAGTCACGTTTGGACGCTCACATCGATTTTGTTTTTCGTTCGGCGGGCTGATGCCTTCAGTGTAGCTTTTGCCTCTTCCGACATAGAAATCATCTGAATCTTCTTTCTACCTCTTTTTCTTTTCACACCACGCATAATGTAATGATAAAAATTAGGAAAAAACGCTGAGGAAATATAATGTTTGGTTAGCTAGCGAGCGATAACTGATTCGAGAATAATTGCACATGCGCGTGAATTGAATGAACAATCTCGATATGCATATTGTCAATCAAAGGTCCTGTTATTTGCTTACTCATGCAAATTAGGCAATTGGACATAAACATTGCCACGTGTGAGTGTTTTTTATTTTTAACCAAAAAATAAACAGCAATTTTAATGGTGTTCCAATAAGAATTCATTGGTCAAATTTTCACAGAATGTTCTTTAGATAAAAATCTATATAAAAAAACGAAAAAAAATATATTTGATTGAAATTCACAAATAAACTGCATCTCTACCTTAAATTAACATATCTCCTAAAGTAAAGCGTATACTGTATTAATATTAGGTGAAAGTTTCACAACACATTGTTATAATGCTTGGTGGTGTCTTGCTTAGTGTATACTTTGCATGCTGGTAACATTATTGCAATCCTTGAATGGAAAATTATGATTAACAAAGAAATCATAATTAAATAGTACACAAAAAACGTGTTTTACAAAATTTTAAATTATGACACTGACTGTTAATATTCAAATTTGTACTGAAGCATATTCTCTCTATGTATGATTCTATCTATGATTAGAGGGATTGTGACTGAAGTATTACTTTACAAGTGATGCATGGCACAGTCCCAGTTAGTTAAGATAAATAGTTTTGTTTATAGTAATAAAGTTGAAACAAACATGTCAGAAGTATGGATCCAGAAGAAGCTTGATTATGATGATTTTTTAACATTAAAATGATTGACATCTTGTATGTGATCATCAAACGAGTACTAGTACTTGTCAAAATTGAGAATTATTGCTCTGGAACAGCATTAATTAAAACAAAATGGTCACCAGTCGGCCATATCTATAACATGATGTAAAACAAATATATACAATTTGAATATAATCAGTCAAAGCATATCAGAGATATGGCTCTAGAAGCGCATTCATTTAAACAAAATTGCCGCCAGTCAGCCATTTTCAATCCGATCTGAAAAATAAAATGTACCAAGATTGAACAAAATCCATCCATAAACACCAAAATCAAATTCTGGAATGTCAGAAATACTTGATTTTTGAAGTTTTTTTAGTACTAAAATGACTGCCATTTGGCCATTTTGAATCTATGTGAGGATGTATAATAAATATATAAAGTTTGATTATAATCAATCAAAGCATGGCCGAAATATGGCACTGGAACTGCATTCATTAAAACACAAGTCATTGAAAATGACACAGTCCCCGTTAAATTTTTGAAAAGTTCTCTTTGTGCTTGTCATATTAAAGCGGAGGGGTTGTCCTTCAAACTTGAGTTCCAAGTGGCGTATACAACAAAACATGTGTTCCATGTAGTAGTAATATGGCCAAAAAAACAGCTGCTATTCGGCCATCTTTGATCTGATTATGACACACTGATACATATGATGTATGTGCCAAATACGAATGAAAATGGTACATAAATTGTGGAAATATAGTAGTAATGCCAAAAAGTCAGATGGCTGTCAATCTGCCATCTTTAACCAGATTTTGAAACAAATTGTCATGAACATGCATCCTAACATGTATAAAGTACATGTACATGTATGTGCCAAATTTGAATGAAAACTGACAGAGCACGTCCAAGATACCGCAAAAAAAACAAACAAGGTGCCTGCCAGTCGACCATCTTTGATCTAATTGCGAAATAAATCGTCATGGACAAGTATCCTAACATGTATAATCTATGTACCAAGTTTGAATGACAACTGACAAAGCATGTCCAAAATACAACATTTTCAAAAAACAAGATGGCTGCCAGTCGGCCATTTTGAATAAAATCGCTAAATCACTGCATGTGCAAATGTCCCACATAAGGTACTAGGCACATGCAAAGAATGAACGGAATCGGTCAACAGGATTCTGAAATATGACTCTGGACAGACTGACGCACAGACACATGGACGGATGGACTCAGGAACATGTATCCTAACATGTATGATCTATGTACTAAATTTGAATGAAAATCGACAAAGCATGTCCCAAATACGACATTTTCAAAAAACAAGATGGCTGCCAGTCGATCATCTTTGATCCAATTGTGAAATAAATCGTCATGGACATGTATCCTAACATGCATAATCTATGTACCAAGTTTGAATGAAAACTGACAAAGCATGTCCAAAATACAACATTTTCAAAAAACAAGATGGCTGCCAGTCGACCATTTTGAATCAAACAAAACAAAATCCATCCATAAATGCTTGATTTTGATGATTTTTTAGCACAAAAATTGCCACCATTTGGCCATCTTGAATCTGATCACGAAACAAATTGATGTGCATATGTATAATATTATGTATGATGTGTGAAGTTTGATTGTGATTGGTCGAGGCATGTCTAAGATACAGACACGGACTCACACATGGATGCACAAGGTCAAAACATAAGTCCTCGTTTTTGGACTGCGTCCGAACAATGACTAATAATCAGTGGATGAATGTAAATTTAAACATTTAGAAACTACTTCAAAAAAGTTTAATTGAATGGAATAAGAATCACAGGGGCACAGGAATAAAGAACCACAGGGGCAAAAACTTACATAATTTTGTGGTTTTCTACTTATTCATGCTAGCATAATACTACTCTGGAATTCGTAGCAAAATAGTGTACACAAACCTTTGCCTTTCTCAGTTCTTCTTTATACATTTCATTTTCATTCTGCAATTTGGTCAGTTGCTGCCTAGCTTCAGTTGGAGTCTTATAAACCATATCAGGGGTTTTTCTAGAAAAAATGAACAAGAGGGAGCACACACGGGCGATCGACCTGGAAACTTCATATCGGAAGTTTTCTGCACCATTTTAACAGTGTGTCTATCGCCATTGATATATTTTTGGAGTAATTTTAGTGTATTTGGTGTCTAGACACATTGTCAGCTGATGTTGCTGGAAAGTTTTCCCAGAGAAAAATATATTTGAGAAATATTTCATGTTGTACGGCAGCACAGAAGTACGCAGCTCAAGAAATACTGGTATATTTATGACTCGAAAGTTCAATTGGCAATTCGGTAAGAGGGCGCCAGACGAGAGTATCAGGGTACTGCGCCCCTGTTCAGAAAAAACCTGCATATAGAGTGAGCTAGTGAGTATACTAGCTGCTGTTTTTGGCATTTTCTGTTGCATCAGTAGTCTGATTCGCAATTACCAATAGACGAACGAATCAGACTACCGATGCAACAGAAAACGCCAAAAACGGACACCAGCGAAATGCAGAGCTACAGAACTGCAGCTAGTAAATAGAGAGTTTAAGATTTGCGTACGTAACGGAAACGTAACGTGTTGTTCTAATTTTGTTTGCGTGAGGTTTTTGGGTGTCAGACAACGATTAAGTTCAAGCACCCACAACGGGAACGAAACTGAAACAGAACCATGTCAATTCGTCTCTCATTTGGCAACCATAATATCCAATAAAATTTGTTATGTCATTTCACATCCGGAATCTGAATTAGTAGTTAGTTCCCAGACATTTGACAGAGCTATTTCCATCCACTCTGCTGAGGTCCCAGGCCTGTTTGCCGAATCCTCTTTCAGCAGATGAATGTCATTCAGTGGGTATAAATATCAGGTAAAATGCATCCAATATTTCTTATTTCATCATAAATATACAAAATCACTCTAATATAAAAGTGTTATCAATGTCAGTGAAAATCAATCAAAATTGACAGCGAGAAAAGCTCTCGGAAATCAACTACTAGTCAGTCACCTTGATCACGTTCAAAACGACTGCCCTACGATCAGGCAACCGATGACGTCATTGGTTAGCACTAAGGTCATGCACAAAACAGTGACGTATCCGTTCTCCTTCCAGTATTTTTCAATAATAACTATTATTACATATGTACTGCAGTTTATTTTGATTCGTCCAGGAAATCAAAATCGGTATTTCCACAACCCATATGCAAATGAGGTCTGAGAGCAAACAAAGTAGTCCCTTCAGGAGTACAGTTTTTCGAAATAAACAATATTTAGAAGTATGATATTTTCCCCTTGGGGTACATGAATATACTTGCCGAGTGAAATGAAATTTGAACAATAATGATACTTTTAGGCAGTCACTTATTTTGGCCCAAACTAATTTGCATATCACCAATGCAATAATGTTTTCGGTATTTTCACGGTCGATATGCAAATGAACATGGTATTTTCATTGGCTACCGAACTATTTTTATTTTGTAAACACATTTTCGTCTGCTATTTTTATCCAGTTCAAATCGTTCAACAACATTTTTGGCATGTCAGGTGTACATCACATGGAATACTAGGATTGGGAGAACTTAATGTATGTTGACCACCTGGAAGCTGAGTTTTATAAACCTTGAAGGTCTCTCAGAAGATCTACCAGCAGTGAAATCAGTGATTACTATGCAGCCGCAACCATCAGCATCGAGATACCAGGTTTCTGCTGGCGACGTTGCGGCGTTACTGAGTTCCAAATAAAAATTACCAACGCCAAAAGAGCAACATTTTAACCGGTAATCAAGACTTAGTCAATCTACGACCAGCAAGCAACATCACACACGAAGTTGTAGCGTGCAGCTCAGCGACAACCGCTGTCAACGAAAGTCATCCCGTCAGTGGAGTACCGCAGTTGCATGGCATGTTTGCGGAACTTTTAACTTCAACATAAACTGTGTATCATAGTCGTCCAGTTCAAGTTCTGGTTCTGTCGTGTTCCCAACTAAACGTCAATGAGTTATTTAGCGCTGCTAGGGCGTAACACTTATATTGGAACATATTAATGGGCAATGGGGTTCCCCGACCTAAATTCCATCCTGGTTTGCACGTTCTTTCTTTAATACGAAATAATCAAGTATGGAACATGTAATAATAACAGAACCCCACACCCTCCCCGTG